ACAGAAAAGTTGCTTTTCTCCAATGGAGTCTCACTGGATACACAAAACCACACTTAAGAGCAATCCCAATTCCCAACAGGACACGGCCAACACAAAATTAATTCATTGGTATTATTGGAGGTTTCTTTTGTCTTACAATATTTTCTTCTGGCCATTTTTTAAAGTTTACAGATCTTTTGTTTATATACTATGGTTTATGATTTATGATTTTGTTTTTTTTGAGTTTTCTGTGTGCCAATGTGTGTCTCTGCATCCATCTGTTTCTTGTGCTCTTTCTTTGGATCTTTTTTCTGTTTTGCTTGATTCTGGTGTCATTATTCTTATCTTATCCTATTTTACTTTATTATTTGTTTAGGTGCTTGTTATTTTGTAATGAGAGAAAGAGACAGAGAGACAGACAGAGAGAGAGAGAGAGAGAGAGAGAGAGAGAGAGAGAGAGAGAGAGTAAAAGAAAGGATGTGGATTTATGTGGTTGGACCATTCCCTTTGAGAACAAAAACTTTATTGCTCTACCCTTTCTGATTTAAGCAAAGACTACAGAGCATAAAAATGAAAGAAGACTTACGTGGGCAAACAGTCCATAAACCTGAACTCAGTTCAGTCAAATTCTGTACAATATTCCCTCTACCAAGTACAGAAATTGTAGCAGTTAAATTTGTTTTAATAGTGATAGGAAAACATTATCAATGGACAACAATCTTCAGAGTATTTCAAACAGTTTCAGATATTTTGTCAGAACATTTTGCCATACCCTTCACATTTATGAATTAAGTAAAATCTAAGAGCCTTTTACACTATTTATCATTGAAGAGGGAGAGGACAGAGTGAAATGGAATTGAGTCAAGAGGACGACAGTTCAGACCACCTAGAATATCCTGACAGGGTTGAAAGTACCCTGATATTAGAAGCAGTTCTTTTTCTAACAGAGTTTCTCTCAGGCCCCAAATCTCAGAATTTACTACTTTACTTCACCAGGTTGCTATGACAATTTCACCAGCTGAAAATATACACATAATAATAAAGTTGTATATAATTTGCTTCTCAGTCTTGAACTAATTAGAATCCCAAATGAAAGCCACTATGTTGTTTATCAATGGCCTGAACTAAAGAGTCAGCCCAAGGTGAGAACATTAAAACATTCCAAGTCATGAATTTGTCTATTGCTGTTCTTCTTCTATCCAATAATGAAATCCTTAGCTAGCTGATGAGTCTATTTCCTCTACTGTACCTTCAGCACTTGAGATTCTCTCTTCCATCTCTAGTATTCTGCTGTTCATGTTTGCATTTGTGGTTCCTCATCTTTTGCTCATGATTTCTGTTTCTATAATTCATTCGGCTTGTGTCTTCTTTATTGTTTCTATTTCAGTTTTCAAGTCCTGGATAGTTTTTTTCATATGTTTGATTTCTTTTTCTTGTTTTTCTTTAAGTGATTTGTTGATATCTTCCCATTTTTTCTTTGTCTTTTCCTCCATTTCTTAAAGGGAATTTCTCATTTCACTTTTAAGAATTTCAAACATTCTCTTGAAGTTATTTTTTAGGTCATTTTCTTCTGCTTCATCCGTATTTGGTTGTTCAGGTCTTGCTGTTGCTCCCAAGGTCCAGTTGAAGAACAGAAGGAGGGAGAAGATGAGTAAGGAAGTCAGGACCACGAGGTGTTGGTCCACCCACTGAGACAGTGTGCCTGTTCTAATGGGAGCTCATCAAATCCAGCCGGACCTGGTCTTTAGGTTTTACTGGTATTGTGTTGCTCTTTGTGGTGTAGCATGTGATCTTACCTTTTCTGCTCATCTTTTCCTCTATAGGTGTGGTTGGGGCTGTCTGAGGTTCTGTTGAATAATCTTCTAGGTGTCAGTAAATCCCAAGCTCAGATGGTTTTCCTCGTGGTACAGTCGGTGTCACAGTTCTAGTTGTCCTGTTGGTTACTGCTGTTCCTGGAGACAGCTCAGTGCTCCTGTGCTTTGCTCTGCTCCCTTGGAGTTTCCTGTCTCAGGCCTACGTTGATCTAGGTTGCTGGCTTTGATCTGTTTCTGAAAATCCTGAACTGGATCCCCTTCTGCAGAAGTCCCTGGCTTGGAGTTGGACCTGTTCTGGTGGAGATCACTGACTCTGGATCTGGTCACTGGCTCAGTCTTGATCTGCCAGTGTTCTGGGACTGGGATGGCTCCCAGGACTGGATTTGCTCCTGGCTTCTGCACCCCTTGGAACTGGGGAATTTTCTTAATTCGTGTTTGATGGGGGAGGTCCCAACCACTGTAGGTGTTACCTTCCTTGGGCATGTAGTCCCTGGTTCTATACAATGCAGGCCGAGCAAGTAATGATGAGCAATCCAGTAAACACCACCCCTCCAATGCCTCTGAATTGGAGCCTTACTATAGGTACCTCTCCTGTCTGGGTTCCTGTCCTGAATTCCTTTGTGAATAACAGGGATGTTTATCACAAACTGTGGGCCACCTTGATTTGAGTTTGAACTGGAAAAGCAAGATAAGCTTGCCACTTTGTCAGTTATGAAACTTCTAGTAAGCTTTTTAGAATACTCTGTTCTTCCGTGGTGTCCCTGATCATGGGGAGGGAGTATAGTAGAGATATTTCATTTGTGGCTGAGCATTCCACTGTCATTTATTTTTTTGTATTTTGAACAATTTTTGGTTTCTGTTAACCACACTGCACTCCACAAAAGCCTGATGCAACTGGAGATCTGAACTATTACATAAGAGTAAACATAATAACTTGGTGGCAGCTCGGGACTCTGTCCATTTATCATAGCAGTAGTAGTTGCACCCACAGGGCCAGCAAACTCTACAACTACTGGCTCATGGCCAGATTTACAGTGCTTTTTTAGTTAAATTAATTTTTAATATTAAATAGTAAGAAACTCACACACATGAATGTACAGATAGTTTGGGAAAGAAAAAACATTTAAGTCCTTCGCAGAACAAAGAAATAGCCAGCATGAGATCCAACAATCACACTCCTGGGTAAAGATCCAAGAGACACAGAACCAGAAGCTCAAAATTGTTTCACGTTCCCAACGCTGTGCCATTCACAATAACCAAGTAATGGGAATCACCACACGTCTGTCCGCTGGTGAATAGGAAAGACATGGAACAGCAGCACACTGGGAAACTCCTCAGCCATCTCAACCTCTCATTTCAAAATGAGACACAGTGCTGGCTTTCAGCAAATACGGAACATGCTCTCTTCATGAATAGCAGTAATTTATAACTAAAATTGTGCTTTCTAGTAATATCCCTCTTAATCTCGAGCATCACAGTGATAACTGCTGCAAAACGTTTCAGTTCTAATGCAGATGTGCAGGGTAAAATCTGGGTTCTTTATAGACTGGAAATGGTAGTGGGAGGTCTGAATCCCCACCAGAAACCATAGTGCAACAAGGCTCACACTATTTCTACTGTCAAAGACACAGAGAGACAGGCCATGAGAGAGAATAGGCTAAAGGGAGAATACTCAAAAGGTACTATGGGGTCATTTAATCCAAATCACACTTAAGTGTGAGTTTCAACATACAACTTGAGTAACAGTGTACCTATGAATGCTACTACGGCAGCCTTGAAAGTTTACTTCCCTTGAAGCTCTCATTCCAAGATTTGAATCAGGTTTGGCCAGAATTTGTCCTTTCACCCACAAAGGAGGGTGATATTTGAGTAGAGGGAACAACTTCTCACAATAATGAATGACACAGGTCACTCTGTGCCCAAATATTTCCACATAGAATCTATGTTCTATCTCTGATGTCCAGCTTCAGCCACAACAGTCTGTGCAGGAGGGAGCAATATGACAAGACTTAGGACCCAGCAATGGCCAATCATTCACTGCTGTAAAAGCCTGTCCTTCCATCAGGCGCTCTGGCTTCCCACGATCTCCAAATGACACGCAGAACTCCTCATGATCATGAGTCACGTAACATGAGGAACTAAATGAATGCAAAAGAAAAAAAAACAGAGTAACTGACATAAAACATCCTCATGGCAGAAGCTGGACAGGCAGGGACAGAGCCAAGCAAATTCAGCCAAACATTTAAAACCTTTCATGATCATCTGCTGAACTTTACAACATTCTGAATCCCTGTAGAAAATGTACAGTGGCTCCATTGTCAGGAGTGCCCAGCAATCTCCAACACTGGGTATCAGTCATGTTTCCCATGCCCCATCTCTTCATGAGAACACCGGGAACATGGTGGTTGAAGGGCCGCAGCTCCAGCATGGGAGAAGAATGGACAAGACGAAGAGTCCCTAGTCAGAAAAGGGCTGACAGAAACAGTTCCCAACACTGCACACCACACACGTGCATGGGGAAAGTGGCTTGAAACATACCTGGACAGTATGATCATTTACAAACACATTATCAGGTGTAAGGTGCACTTAGCATGGGACATGTTAAAGCATGTGCCTCCAGGATTCTCTGAACCTCACACTGCACTCTGCCTGCAGGGTCCTCTATTGTGATTCAATCATGCTCTGTATTTATCTACCATGGAGTTATTTATTTTGTAAGTTCCTTATAAAACTAAGGTCCGCTGAGGCAAAGACTCAGCTAATAAGTCACAGGGCACTACATGCTAAAAGATTATTAGTGCAGACAGGTAAGGTAGAAAACAACAGATACAAGGGACAGAGGAATGTGCCTTGCAGGAGAGTGCCAGCAATAAACCAGGCTGTCTATGGAGAATCTGAGATGAGGAGGAAGAGTGTGGGCTCAGATATCTGAGAAGAGGAAGCAGCACTGTCAACCGTGCTTCTCCTCTCAAGCAGAAACCTCAAAAAGACGGAGGGCTGACAGACCATGTACGTAGGTGATTCCCATGGAGGTGTCTATGGGAAACACTTCCATCTAGTACCCCTAATTTAAGTGTTTCCAAGGATGCTTGGCACAGTTTGGGAGGGAATAAGGAGGGACCAAGCTGGGAAGTAACTGAGGCCATGATGCCCTTTGAGATTCCCAGAATGCAGTGAGGTGAGCCTTCTGTGATGTCACAGGTAAAGCCCTGCCCTAGGAACAGCAGTCTTTGCCTGAAGACCACACAGCGTTCACCAAGGATGGTTGGGATTCGAAGTCAGTCCAAATGTCTGGGTAAGTTTGGGCTGTTTTCTGGGAGGGACACTACCTGAAATTCAGCACATGAGTGACTCACTTAGTGTGAGGCACTTCTTCATCGGAACCTTAAATATGGAGACTAAACAGAGTGAGGGACTGGAAATGTTCCTGCCCGAGGATAGTTCATTCTAAGCTGGACAAGAAAGAGTAGGGATGAGAAGTCTCATAGCAGTGAGCCTAGCCCCCAAAGACCACAGGGAGAGAAACCCTCCTCTCACCGGAGACAGGGGCCTTGGAAGGAAGCTGTGCAGGCATCTCTGGATCAGAACTCCAGCTTGCAGCCTAGGTAAGGAAGGATGAACAATGCTGTTCACATGCCCACATTAGACCTTCACTCAGAGCTTGTCCAGACAGGGGGAAAAAGCATCTAGGATACTGATGTCAGCTTCACTAAGGACGTCTGTCGTACCAATGTCTTCATTTGTACTCACAGCCGGTACAATCTTTGAACAAACATTACTGTCACTGTCATAAGAAACATCATGGCAGACTCAACCCTCAGATTCTCTCCTTCTGGACATGGTTTTCACCTTCATGTGTGCTCATGTCTGAAGGTTTATATCCTAGGTACGAAATAACTTAGAGAGGACACTGAATGCTGTCCCATATCTTCCCAACCAATATACACATTGTTGTAAGAGTCGGGGTGATTTTATAGTCATACTTTGTTAATAACGATGACCTTACCACATGGACAGCCTTCTACTCTGCTGGGACAGTGTGCTCAGCACAATGTGGGAAAGCATGGTTATTTCTCATGCTACACTCAGGCAGAGAGGAAGAAGCTGGACAGAGTTGTGGTCAGGCCTCTGTTACCTCATAAAATATCCAAGGAAAAGGCTGTGGTGTTGATGGGAGGGAACCCTGTGTCGACAAGGGTGGACTGGATTCCAGAAGAAGTTGCAGGTATTCTGTGAGGTTTGAGGCATGTGGAGGGAGACATACATGCAGGACATCTGCGAATATGGCTTAATTAGATGCCACTGTGTTATACTGGGAAGTGGAGGATGAGAAAGGATATGAGGCACAATGTGGTTTTGAGGGTTCAGTTTTTCAATTCAGGGTTTCTCTGGGTAGCTTTGAAAACTGTCCTGGAAATAGCTCTTGCAGACCATGCTGGCCTCAAATGCACAGAGATCCACCGGTCTGGGTGCTGGGATTAAAGGTGTGTGCCACCACTGCTCGGCCAAGGTGCCTTTTAACAGGACCTGTGCCATACCAGTAGAAATGATTTATCTATTGTGAGAGAAGCTGAGGCACTTGCCAAACAAGGATTCATGGAGATGACACCCACAACTCACCAGAGAATGAGGTCAAGAGATGACATCACCCAAACTGTATAACTGACTGATGCAGGATGAAGCCTGTGTTTGTGCTCTAAGTCCTGGCCACTGTCAGCTATGGCAGCCCATAGGGTCCAGGGCAGGTGGGAAATGCTTTACAGACTCCTACTGTAGGGGTCTCAAGGGACTTTGCGTCTTCCCATCATTAATCTCCTCATTTCTAACTAGGGATTATGCCTAGTATGATTGAAAGGAGGGACAGAATAAGAAGCAGAACTAAAGCCATCTTCCTAACCCCACTGCCCACTATGGACACTGCCCACTATGGACACTTATATTTAAATGCTGTTATACCATGAATGATCTGGATATGTATGTGTTCATATGTATATATACATGAGGGCATGTGCCTTCAGGTATTACAAGCATGCAAGTAGGTGTAGGACCAAAACCTGAATAATGGTGACAGGGATCAATGCAGTTCTAGGTATCCTGATCTAACACACAGGAATTTTGGTAAGAAGCCAAATGAGCAGTGAATAGAAGCCTGTTTACAGAGTAAGATGCCACACAAAATATCCAGGACAGAAACATATACACAGCAGAAAGAAAAGGTCTAGAGATGACCTGGTGTAAGACTCAAGGGTAGAGCCTACAGAAGGTTAATGATCAACAGCGTACAGCAACAACTGTGACAATCTCTCAGGGGGGCACGTGCAGCACAAGGAGGACAGGAAGAGCTTCACTGGGATTCTCTTAGGCTTCTCCAGATGTGAACTTGCCTGAAAACAACCATCTTTATTTAGGTCCTAGGCCTTCACTACTGGGCCATATGTAGTTATATCACACTCTCAATATCGACTTTTTAAACTTGTACTTTTATTTAAGAAACTTGTGTGACTATATCTCTTACCTGTGCATGAATCTCTACATACATGTTCATGTGTGTGGCTGCTATGTTAGTTCTTTATTTCTACAAATCTACACCTGTACTTTTTGAGAAAAGGTGAAATCAACAGAGGCAGCCACTACCCTTCTCAGAACTTCTGGTTCTAAACTCCAACAGGAGGAAGCTCTGCTGTTATTCTGTTCTTCAGGGACTGACGTTCTCAGAAGTCATCGACTACAATGACAGGGTCATGTCTGGAAACTTCATGATATCCCGTTTCCTAGGCAATCCTACCTCAAGCTTTGTTAAGTGGTGGTGAGGGAACAGGTTACAGGGCAAATTGACAGTCAGCTTGTTGTCCAGGATCTATCAGATGACACAGTCCAATTCAGAGGACTATACAAATTGGCTGACAACCTTAGAATGAAAAATGATTAACTAAATATTATACATTGCACATTCTGGATGAGTTTGACTCATGGCCATTAAACTTGCTCCTGCCAGGTGTGAAGTCAACATGACGAGGAGGACTGGATGTCAGCTTGTCCCCAAGACATGGTCAGAAATGGAGCCTTTGTGCTTACGTAAGTACAAGGCCAAAAAACACACGTGTACAACAGTAATGTATTACCTGTCTCTCCTCACTACATATTTCATGTTTCTATTCATATCATGTATAATTGTATCATCTGGATTGTGGGGAATAGATGTCTGTGTTTGTGCATGTTTCCATGAGCAAGGGTCAAGGATATACCAGAAACGAACAGCAATATTCTCCTCAATAACTATTCTTATGCCTATTGTTTTGATGTTTCTCTTTCTCTTTTTCAGCAAAGGTAACCTGATATGAAGACTAATGTAAAATATTCATCTTTTACAACACATGTCTTTTCGGGATCAATTGCTTAGCCTGAGACGTCCAAGGCCCAAAGAAGGTAAGATGTGGGCCTGGGCTTAACACCATAAAGAGGCCTGGGATCAATGGAAAAGACATGGTGGCCTGGGTCTAAACTTCGGATGAAGAGGCCTGGGCCTAATGAAGAAAAGAAATGGACCTGGGCCTAACACATCCCCTGAAGAAGCCTGGGCCCACTGAAGAAAAGTTGTGGGCCTGGGCCTAACCTGTACCCTGAAGAAGCCCAGGCCCAGAGAAGAAAGTTGTGGGCCTGGGCCTAACCTGTACCCTGAAGAGGCCTGGGCCCAGTGAAGAAAAGTTGTAGGCCTGGGCCTAACCTGTACCCTGAAGAAGCCCAGGCCCAGAGAAGAAAGTTGTGGGCCTGGGCCTAACCCGTACCCTGAAGAGGTCCAGACTCAGTGAAGAAAAGATATGGGCCTGGGCTTAACACTTCCCCTGAAGAGACCTGGGCCCAATAAGGAAAAGATATGGGCCTGGGCCTAAACCTTCCCCTGACACGGCCGGGGCCAAATGAGGAAAGTTGTGTGCCTGGGCCTAACCCATATCCTGAAGAGGCCCCGGCCCAGTGAAGAAGAAATGTGGGTCTGGGCCTAACCCTTGCCCTAAGATGTTCAGGCGCAGTAAAGAAAGGTTTTGGGCCTGGGCCTAACCCGTACCCTGAAGAGGCCTGGGCCCAGTGAAGATAAGTTGTTGGCCTGGGCCTAACACAAATCATGAAAAGGCCTGGGCCCAGTGAAGAAAAGTTGTGGGCTTGGGCCTAACCTGTACCCTGAATAGGCCCGGGCCCAGAGAAGAAAAGTTGTGGGTCTGGGCCTAACTCGTACCCTGAAGAGGCCCTGGCCCAGTGAAGAAAAGTTGTGGGCCTGGGCCTAACCCGTACCCTGAAGAGGCCCAGTCCCAGTGAAGAATAGTTGTGGGCCTAGGCCTAACACGCATCCTGAAGAGGCCCGGGCCCAGTGAAGAAAAGTTGTGGACCTTGGCCTAACCCGTACCCTGAAGAGGCTCAGGCCCAGTGAAGAAAAGTTTGGGCCTGGGCCTAGCACTTATCCTGAAGAGGCTCAGGTGCAGTAAACAAACGTTTTGGGCCTGGTCCTAACCCATATCCTGAAGAGGCCTGGACCCAGTGAAGAAAAGTTGTGGATCTGGGCCTAACTGTTACCCTGAAATGCAATGAGTCCAAGGAGAAAAACTGTGGGCCTGGGCCTAACTCCAACCCTTAAGAGGCCCGGGCCCAGTGAAGAATACTTGTTGGCCTGGGCCTAACCCATACCCTGAAGAGACCCGGGCCCAGTGAAGAAAAGTTGTGGGCCTGGGCTTAATCTGTACCCTAAAGAGGTCCGGGCCCAGTGAAAAAAAGCTCTCGGCCTGGGCCTAACCCATATCCTGAAGAGGCCTGGGTCCAGTGAAGAAAAGTTGTGGGCCTGGGCCTAACCATTACCATGAAGAAGCCCAGGCCCAATGAAGAAAAGATATGGGCCTGGGCCTAACAATTCCCCTGAAGAGACCTGGACCCAATAAGGAAAAGATATGGGCCTGGGCCTAAAGCTTCCCCTGACGCGGCCTGGGCCAAATGAGGAAAGTTGTGTGCCTGGGCCAAACCCATATTCTGAAGAGGCCCGGGCCCAGTGAAGAAAAATTGTGGGTCTGGCCCTAACCCTTGCCCAGAAGAGGCCCGGGCCCAGTGAAGAAAAGTTGTGGGCCTGGGCCTAACCCATACCCTGAAGAGGCTCGAATCCAGTGAAAAAAAGTTGTGGGCCTGGGCTTAACCTGTACCCTAAAAAGGCCCGGGCCCAGTGAAAATAAGCTCTCGGCCTGGGCCTAACCAATATCCTGAAGAGGCCTGGGCCCAGTGAAGAAAAGTTGTGGGTCTAGGCCTAACCCGTACCCTGAAGTGGCCCGGGCCCAATGAAGAATAGTTGTGGGCCTGGGCCTAATCCCTACCCTGAAGTGGCCCGGGCCCAGTGAAGAAAAGTTGTAGGCCTGGGTTTAGCTATTATCCTAAAGAGGCCTGGGCCCAGTGAAAAAAAGTTGTGGGCCTGGGCCTAACCTGTACCCAGAAGAGGCCCGGGCCCAGTGAAGAAAAGTTGTGGACCTGGACCTAACCCGTACCCTGAATTGGCCCAGGTCCAGTATTGAAAAGTTGCGGGCCTGGGTCTAACCCGTACCCTGAAGAGGCCCGGGCCCAGTGAAGAAAAGTTGTGGGCCTGGGCCAAACCCGGACCCTGAAGAGACCCGGGCCCAGTAAAGAAGAGTTGTTGGCCTGTGACTAACCATTTTACACTGAAGAGGCCCGGGACCAATGAGAAAAGATATGGGCCTGGGCCTAACATGTCCCCTGAAGAGGCCTGGGCCCAATGAGAAAGTTGTGGGCCTGGGCCTAACCCGTACCCTGAAGAGACCCGGGCCCAGTAAAGAAGAGTTGTTGGCCTGGGCCAAACCCGAACCCTGAAGAATCCCGGGCCCAGTGAAGAAAAGTTGTGGGCCTGCGACTAACCATTACACTGAAGAGGCCCGGGACCAATGAGAAAATATATGGGCCTGGGCCTAACATGTCCCCTGAAGAGGCCTGGGCCCAATGAGAAAAGTTGTGGGCCTGGGCCTAACCCATATTCTGAAGAGGCCCGGGCCCAGAAAAGAAAATTTGTCGGCCTGGGCCTAACCTGTATCGTGAAGAGGCCAGGCCCAGTGAAGAATAGTTGTTGGCCTGGGCCTAACCCATACCCTGAAGTGGCCCGGGCCCAGTGAAGAAAAGTGTGGGCCTGGGTTTAACTATTATCCTGAAGAGGCCTGGGTCCAGTGAAGAAAAATTATGGGCCTGGGCCTAACCTGTACCCTAAGAGGCCTCGGCCCAGTGAAAAAAAGTTGTGGGCCTGGGTCTAATCCGTACCCAGAAGAGGCCCGGGCCCAGTGAAGAAAAGTTGTGGGCCTGGACATAACCCGTACCCTGAAGTGGCCCGGGCCCAGTGAAGAAAAGTTGTGGGCCTGGGCCTCAGCCACACCCTGAAAAGGCCTGGGCCCAGTGAATTAAAGTTATGGGCCTGGGTCTAACTTGTACCCTGAAGAGGCCCGGGCCCAGTGAAGAAAAGTTGGGGGCCTGGGCCTAACCCGTACCCTGGACTCTGAAGTGTCCCGGGCCCAGTGAAGAAAAGTTGTTGGCCTTGGCCAAAGCCGTACCCTGAAGAGACGCAGGCCCAGTAAAGAAAAGTTTTGGGTCTGGGTCAAACCCAAACCCTGAAGAAGCCCGGGCCCAGTGAAGAAAAGTTGTGGGCCTGGGCTTCAGATGTACCCTGAAGAGGCCCGGGTCCAGTGAAGAAAAGTTGTGGGCCTGGGCCTAACTCGTATGTTGAAGAGGCCTGGGCCCAATGAGAGAAGTTGAGGGCCTGGGCCTCAGCCATACCCTGAAGAGGCCCGGGCCCAGTGAAGAAAAGTTGCGGGCCTGGGCCTAGGCAGCACCCTGAAGAGGCCCGGGCCTAGTGAAGTATAGTTGTGGGCCTGGGCCTAACCCGTATCCTGTACCCTGAAGTGGCCTGGGCCCAGTGAAGAAAAGTAGTGGGCCTGGGCTTCAGACGCACCCTGAAGTGACCCGGGCCCAGTGAAGAAAAGTTGTGGGTCTGGGCCTCAGCTGCAACCTGAAGAGGCCCGGGCCCAATGAATTAAAGTTATGGGCCTGGGCCTAACCCCTACCCTGAAGAGGCCCAGGCCCTGTGAAGAAAAGTTGTGGGCCTGGGCCTAACACGTCTCCTGAAGAGGCCTGGGCCCAATGAGAAAATTTGTGGGCCTGGGCCTCAGCCGCACCCTGAAGCAGCCAGGGCCCAGTGAAGAAACATTGTGGGCCTGGGCCTAACCTGTATCCTGAAGAGGCCCGGGAACAGTGAAGAAAAGTTGTAGGACTTTGCCTAAACCGTACCATGAAGAGACCCAGGCCCAGTGAAGAAAAGTTGTTGGCCTGGTTCTAACCTGTACCCTGAAGAGGCCCGGGCCCAGTGAAGAATAGTTGAGGGCCCAGGCCTAACCTGTACCATGTACTCTGAAGTGGCCCCGGTCCAGTGAAGAAATGTTGTGTGCCTGGGTCTAACTAGTATCTTGAAGAGGCCTGGGCCCAGTGAAGAAAACTTGTGGGCCTGGGTCTTACCTGTACCCTGAAGTGGACCGGGACCAGTGAAGAAAAGTTGTGGGCTTGGCCCTAACCTGTACACTGATGAGGCCCTGGCCCAGTGAAGAAAAGTTTTGGGCCTGGGCCTAAACCGTACCCCGAAGTGGCCTGGGCCCAGTGAAGAAAAGTTGTGGGCCTGGGCCTAACCCATAGCCTGAAGAGGCCCTGGCCCAGTGAAGAAAAGTTCTAGGACTAGGCATTACTCATACCCTGAAGAGGCCCGGACCCAGAAAAGAAAATTTGTTGGCCTGGGCATAACCTGTACCGTGAAGAGGCCCAGGCCCAGTGAAAAATAGTTGTGGGCCTGGGCCTAACCTGTACCCTGTACCCTGAATTGGCCTGGGCCCAGTGAAGAAAATTAGTGGGCCTGGGCCTCAGATGCACCCTGTAGTGTCCCGGGCCTAGTGAATTAAAGTTATGGGCCTGGGCCTAACCCATATCCTGAAGAGGCCCGGGCCCAGTAAAGAAAAGTTGTGGGCTTGGGCCTAACCCGTACCCTGAAGAGACCCAGGCCCAGTGAAGAAAAGTTGTGGGCCTGGGCTTCATCCGTACCATGAAAAGGCCCGGGCCCAGTGAATTAAAGTTATAGGCCTGGGCCTAACCTGTACCCTAAAGAGGCCTGGGCCCAGTGAAGAAAAGTTGTGGGCATAGGCCAAACCCATACCCTGAAGAGGCCCAGGCCCAGTGAAGAATAGTTGTGGGCCTGGGCCTAACACGTCTCCTGAAGAATCCCGGGCCCGGTGAAGAAAAGTTGTGGGCCTGGGCCTCAGCCACACCTGAAGAGGCCTGGGCCCAGTGAAGAAAATTGTAGGACTGGGCCTAACCCATACCCTGAATTGGCATTGGCCCAGTGAACAAAAGTTGTGGGCCTGGGCCGAACCCCTACCCTAAAATACAATTAGCCCAATGAGAAAAGTTGTAGGCCTGGGCCTAACCATTACCCTGAAGAGGCCTGTGCACAGTAAAGAAACGTTTTTGGCCTGGGCCCATCTCAAAATCCATAGATCTATATCTTATGCTGCAGATTCCAGGGCCCAATGCAAGATGAGATGAGGCTGAGATCCTTGCATGAATCTGAAAAGTCCTATGCCCAAAGAAGAAGAAATGTTTGCTTGGGGTTATACCTGACCCTCGAAAATAATGGGCCCAGAGCATCAAGACATTTGGGAAAATACAAAACGTGCAAAGGCCAAAAGAATCAAACACACAGGACTGTACCCATGGTGTGTCACAACCAGAAGTATCTCGGGCCTACATCAAACAGAGCCCTGGGACAACTGGCCCAGATTCATTCTCTCCCAATAAGCCCTGGACATAAAGAAGAGTGACAAGACCAAAACTAAAGAGAATCAACATTGTGTTTAGACCATGTACCACGAGCCTCACTGGTCCTAGGCCTCATTTTCAGCTCTTTTATAACCAGCTGAGACACCAATGCAGAGACATTCCAGCTTGTCCATCCAGAATCATGGCCTTGACTACGCTACTCTCTTTCTGAGCACTCGTGGAAACTGCCCTGCTCAAAATTAGGTGTGTGGATCACACACATACATGCTTTATTCAATGCTGACCACATCCTCAACACATGTCAGCAAGTATGAACTGCTGCTGTGATGTGCCAAGGCCTATATTGAAATCATATATCAATATAGACAGCATAAAAAAGAGTGTCGTACTGTGCCCTCTAGCTGTAGGAGACATCATCTTACCTTGAATTAAAGAGTTCTTAAACTGATTTCTTTAAGAATGAACAGTTCTCAAATGTGATTCACACAACAGCCTGTTTTCTAAGAATTGTCGACTAATGCAAATTTGGTCTTGTTCTGAGTAACTGACTCCTGGTCACGTTATATCTTTCAAGATTCAGAACTTGGTGACATAATTACTAATCTAGGAGCAAGGCCATGAACAGATCTCAAAGGAAATCTGTCCACTCCTGAACCGCAAGTATTCCGCGCGATCATCTTCAAGGCTGTATGGGCCGCACCCTTGCTCTGTGCATTCCAGGACAAAATCCCACCACAGAGGAGCCAGGCCTTAAGGGGACCAAACCTCATCTCAATGATCAAAGGAAATGAAACCCAATAACCATGACCAGGACTGAAGCCAAGTATTATCTTCATGTCAATTTAGTTTGTTGGACACACCATAGCCTCATTTGTGACCCAGGCCATGCCATGTTCACCAAGACAACTGGAATCTTCACCAGTGACTGACATCAGATCATAAGCCATGAACTCTGATCCAGAAGAAGTTCATCTTGAAGCTTCTTTTGGTTCTATTCTGGCTTGTGAGTTCTATTTGTGATTGTAACAACACAGGCAAAATTCTCATACATGTGTCAAGGCAACCTCATGGATTTGAAATCATCTGAACCACACATGAAGGTCAAATGACAGGAACACAGCTTGGAGTGATGGGTGGGCGGGCCACACCCAGGAAATCCTCTGTGTCTAGGTCAAGAACAACAGCTTGACCTTGGGTCTGACCTAGGACGTGTACTACTACAGTAATGTCTACACACTATAACAGCATGAGTTGGTTGTCTGAAGAATGAGAAAAGGACAAAGGCCATAAACTGACATCAAGGGGTCCTGCCAGCTTCCTGATTACTTGTAAATCAGGTCAAGATTAAATTTTAGGGT